CTAAATGATGGGGCAGATTAAGACAGAGGCCGAGTGTCTGGCTTGGATGGTTGAGTGCATGATGACCCCTTTACTGAGAGGAGTACATTTCAGAGAAACTATGAATTAGACACCATGAGTTCTGCCCTGGCGGGTACAGCTCAGTAGATTGAGCACCAGCCTGCGAACCAAAAGGTCACCAGCTCAGTTCCTAGTCAGGGCACATGCCTGGGTTGTGGGCCAGGTCCCCAGGTGGGGGCGTGTGAGAGGCAACCAATACATATTTCTTTCCTTCTCTTTCTCCCTCCCTGACCCTCTCTCTTAAAAAAATAAATAAAAATTTTTTAAAAGGAAACTATGAGTTCAGTTTGAGACATGATTGATTTGTCTCCCTCCAACAGCCAAAGAAATGGTATTGTCTGTAACTTGTGGCTATTGATAAGCACTTGGGAGAGTCATCCACAACCACATAATTAAAATATTGAGAGCACAGGAGAGCTTCCAGAAAGAGAAGGTAGAGAAAGAACAGCAGTGGGTCCAGGATAAGAGTTCTAAGGAACATGTGAGGATGAGCTCCTGCTGGAAACTACTAAGAGAACATTTGGGCAAATGGGAGGAAAACCAGGAGGGGCAGGGTCACCTATGGAGGCTAAGGGTGGGGACGTTTAAGCATTAAAGGATAGGTGAACACTATCGAGGTCACCAGAGAAAAGGACTGAGGACTGAACACAAGGGGATGGATAGTAAGGAAGTAAAGACGGCAAACTTAACGGACTTTTTAAAGAACTTTGCTTGAAAAGAAAGGAAACAAATCAGATGAAAACTAGAGGCTTACACAGGATCAACAGAGGGGCTTGGGGTGGGGGTGAGGAAACTTGCACAAGACTGTAGGCTAGAGCTAAAGAACTGGGAGAGTGAGGAGGTGCTTGAAGGCTCTAACCCGAGGAGAGAGGAGGAACAAGATTACGAATCCAGACCAAAAAAGCTGGCCTAGAATAGAACATTGTTTTCCTTATCCTCTGAGATTCACATACCAAGAACATAAGGTATCTCTTTGTCTATGACTAAAAGGAGTCTATCAATGATATAGAGAGAAGTATAGATAAATAAATGCAGACAAAATGCTATACAATCCCTTTTTTTCAGTTCTTAATATTATTATGTATTCAGAGACGTCAAAAGAACGCTCACCCCAGGTAAAAGCAGCCAGGCCACACTTCCAACCCTCAGGCCCTTGGCACAGCTTCCCAGGGTAGCAGGCTGCTTTCTCACCGTTGCCCAAATGCGCGGTGCACTTCGACCGAGTCCCCTCTATGAAGGCTTCCTCCCTTTTGTCCTCTCTTTCCCCATGAGTGAAACGAATGGGTTGGATCAAAATCAGGCAGCAACACATGTGCCCATCAACAGATTAATGGGTAAACAAATTGTTGTATAGTTGTACAATGGAATATTACACAGTAATAAAAAGGAATGAGTATTTGATATGCTCATCAACAGGGATGAATCTCCAAATCATTATTCTGAGTAAAAAAGAAAAAAGCCACACTGCCTCCCCTTAGAAAAGAGCATATACTGTATCATTCCATTTATATAAAACTCTACAAAATGCAAAATAAGCTATGGTGACAAGTAGATCAGTTGTTGGTTGGAAATGGGGCACAAAGCATGGAGAAGGGTGGGAGGGAGAGATTACCAGGAGGCATAAGGAAATTGGAGGGCATGAAGCATGTGTTCACTATCTTGATTGTGGTCATGGTTTCACAGCTGTATAAGTGTGTCAAAACTTATCAAATTGTACACTTTATATGGGCTTTATTGCATGTCAATTATACCTCAATAAAGCTATAAAAACATATAATCGCAAAATGATCTTTAGGTGACTTCCAACTGACTTCCAGCTCCATTTTCTTTTCCATGACTCTTCTTTCACCTCTTTGTAGAACTCGCCCTAGGAAACATCACTAGGCCCAAACAAATATCCTTTTGTTGTTAGAAGACACTAATCCTGGTTTTTCCAACTGAGAATAAGAGGCGGAAGTTCTAAGTAGCCCTCCTAATAATGAGCAATATAGTTCCCCCCTCTTTCCCCAAGATCACCAAAATTTTGCTGAGATCAAATGTCTATTTTCTGCTTAGGGCACAAAGTTAAGAAGACAAAGCAAATCTTGTGACATAATATTTTAAAAATCTGGAGCCAAACATTTTAAGCGTCGCCTAGTTCCTCTGCAGCTAACCCAGCGATTTATAAAAAGGTCTCTAAGTGTGAAAAGCAGGGACTCTTCTCTCTTTGGGGCGTCACTCTCACCAGTGAGCTCGTTGCAGGACTAAGCAGTTCAGCAGCAATCCAGAGACAGACAGACGTGGATGGCCGGGGGCGGGGGGGGGGGGGGCATGTTTTAATCCTGTTTCAACCTCTGACTGCAAAAGGAACTGGCCCAATTTAAAGTTTCACAATTTCTGACCGCTGGTCTATATTCCTAAAAGGTTACATGTAGAATAAATATCATAAGTGTGTGTGTGTGTGTGTGTGTGTGTGTGTTAGGCTCAATCATCATTTTCCAATTAATTTACTATAATGAAGAAATAGCCTTGGGTCAAATGAATTCTGCCTTTGCAATCTACAAGCTTTGTGATCTTGGGCAATCCTTAACTTCTCTAAGCTTCCACTTCCTCCTCTAAAATAGAGTTGAACTCAAAGGGCTGACCTAAAGATTATATAAATAAAGAAAGGCATAGGGCCTTGTACATAAACAGCACTCAATAATACTTTATGAAATCCATAGTACAGTATTCTGTATTATAAATATCAACACCATATAACTTTATCTTTCACGTTCTGTCACATAAATAATCTGAATCCACAAACAGGTAAGAACACATTAAGGGAATTTGCTATTTAAAACAGCAACAGCTAATACAATGAACCCTTAAAATATGCCAACTATGGCATGTGCTTTTCTTAATCGGTCATTTAATCCTAACAACAGCCTTGTAAGGTTCATATTATTATTATTACCCGCATTTTATATATAAAGAAACTGAGGCAAAAATAGATTACGTCATTTTCCCAAGGTCATACAGCTAATAAGAGCGGGGGTGGGAGGAGGGATTGGGGGATTTAAATCCAAGCAAACTGACTGTGGAATATCTGTGCTTAGCTACTATATTGTATGTGGTTTTTTTTTTTAATGGATTCTTAAGCACATTTGTGAAATAAATCATGACAGACTTACCTGCCTGGTAACTTTGGATACTGAGTCATAACAATCACAGGTCTCTTAAGAAAGGGATTTTTCAGAAATGTTAGAGCATGATCTACTGCAGTCCAACTCCTGCCTAGAGTCAGGGCCACAGCTAAACAACTCAAGCCTGGTAAAAAGTCTCCCGAGAACAAAATCCCACTTCTACTCGTAGCTCATTACCAAGTTTAATAGTCAGGAAATTCTTAAATTACAACTAATTTAAATCCTTTCTGCTGCAGGCTAAGCCCTATTCCTTGTGCCTGATAAACCCCAATATTTCCATTTCTTTTATTCATTCACTCAACGATAAAGTAAACATTTATTAAGCGCGTAGGCTGAGTGACATTACTGAACAAGTTCAGATAGGATCAGTCCGAAGACTGGCCAGTTGAAGGGTAGGGAGGATTTGCAGGGACAAAGTGGGGAGAGGAGAAGCCTCCTTTTATGGGGTTGGGCACAGAGCTCCCAGGCAGCACCATGTAGCCCATTTGTGTGGGTACAATTATGTAATGCTGAAATTCCCCAACAAAAACTCACCCAGAGCCAACCCGGTTTGGGATCCCAAGCGAATCCCAAACATATCCCAAGCAGCCATGCCTGGTAAACCTACATTTGCCTTTTTCCTGGGTCCTAAATCTAACACCACCAGCTTGCCATCTGCCTTGTATAAAAGCTTTTCATTTACTGAAGGTTATGGTTAAGTGGACACTTTCTCTTCTGCAAACAAAATAAACTCAGCGGTTGAACTAGAAATGCCCCAATATGATGCTGCTGAACAGTGAAGGCTGTGCACAACCTGAGGCCCTTAGAGCAGGCGACACAAAGCCTGGAGGCTGGTGCTGTCCCACTGTTCAATCTGTATTTACTGAGCACCTAAGTACCCGGCAGCCCCTGTCGAGCCAGGGAGACAAGAAGGTGCACAAGCGCCTGTGATCTGTGGCAGTAGTTACAATGCCAGTTAATTAGGCTCCTGATGTTAAGGAAGCGCTAAGAAGGCTTCCATCCACTGTTACCCTCGTACTACACTGAATTTAGATTTTGTCCACTAAAATTGGAATAATAATTCCACCTTAATCTACTTTATGATGCCGTGGGGACCTCAAAGGCCAAGGCTCCTACAAAAGCATAAAGGACAATTGAAGGTAGGGACTGTTGATTAGCGACGTAATGATGCTGATCTGCACATTTAAAAGATGTGTTTCGTTGAGCGGTGCTACAGAACAGCGGCGAGCAGAGGCTAATAATTGTTGCAAATCGTCGGTACCTGCTCCGAGGCGGGGGTGGAGGGGGGGGAGGCAGTCATGACCTAATGTGGAGGGGAATCCGGAGCAATTTCCAAAGTCAAAAGGTCGGAAAATGGCACTCTCAGCACCACTCGCGCCCTCTCCGGGGTCAATCCCCAGGAGCCCCGCACCACCCCCACCTCTGAAATCCTAGACCCCCATCCCAGACCGCCCGGACCTTGTCGCAGACGCCCCCTGGCGGCCACGCGCGGACATTCACTTTTCGTAGTGCGGGGGCGGGGCTAACGAAGTAGGGCGGTAAATGGGGTGTGGTCTTCTCGCGTGAACTAATGTCGTCACCGAAGCGACGGACCCGGAAGGAAGTGGCGGGCTGAGGGGTGTGGCCGTTTCTGCGGTTGCACGGGGGTTCGGACAGAGTACGGAGCGCCTGGAGGGACAGCCTGGTACGCGGCCCCCGCCCCTTAGTACGTGCACTGGGCCTAGCTGCCGCTACCGGCCGCGCTGATAAGCGACTCTCCCGGTTCCCACGCCAGCTGCTGCTTCTCCCTCCTGAGCGAGAGAGCCACCCCTCTCTCCTGAATTTCTTTCTCTCACTAGCTCCCAAGCGAGACCAAGCAGAGGCTCTTGGAGCCCCAGCTCCTACTCAGGGCTCTTGGGATGCGCGACCTTCTCTCGGAAAGGGCGCGAGGTGGGACGGGGGTTTCCGCGGAGGGAAAGGACGCAGCTGCAAATCCGTAGCTGGAGGCCGCCTCGGCGAAATAAGCTCCGCGCAGGTGTTGATGCCGGACTTCTCCTAGACCCAGGAGGCAGAATCCACGCCCTGCGCGGGTTGGCCCAGGCACGCCTTACTGTGTACTTTGGTGGCAGTTACCGTAGTTTTTCCAGATCATTCAGTGTTCGGGAAATGAGTCTCTAGACGCCAAGTCTTTCGCATCCTGGTGCCCGAACGCAGTTGGACCCAGAATCTTCCCACCATAGGGAACCCCATTTCTCTAACCGTGGGCCTAGGGACCTGTCAGGTACAAAGTAACAGGAATATGGGAGGAAGTGTGGCTGCGGTCTTGTTCAGAGCCCGCTCTCATTTATGGCCAAAGGAGTAACTGGGAAGGTGGACAGAAGGCTGGAGAGTCCCACCTTGGAACTCGCCGCATGCTGCCTCTGTCTCTCCAGAGGAGTAAAAGAGTAAATAATGGTTTCCTTTGAAGTGGCAGGCAATTAGGACCGGGAGGCTTTGACCAGAACTACAAGCCACAACTGCCTGTCACTTGACTTCCTCTGTAATTTGGGCCAACACACTGCAGCTGCCTCTCCTTTTACTAGTGTGAGTGGCTCCGCGGACCGCGCATTCGAGAAGGCTGTGTTCTGAACGCGGCCCAGTTGGCACTGGTTCCCCTTTAGGCCACAGCTGTACCAGGAACCACTGCCTCTTCCACGAGGTGGGGAACAGAATTGCCCAGTTAAGGAATGGGAATGCTGACAGCAAGGATAGAAAGAGTTGTAGATCTAGCCTCGTGTTCAAACTACAACGGGCTGGATAGGAGCCACCTCCAGGGCGCTCCGCTTGGTGAGGTGCACTGGCTGTCATAGCTTGCCGCCTGCACAGCGGGCCGTACACGTTTTCCCATATCTTTTTCCCTAGGATAAAGGTTCACTGATGGCTCAGTTGGGAGCAGTTGTGGCTGTGGCTGCCAGTTTCTTTTGTGCATCTCTCTTCTCAGCTGTACACAAGATAGAAGAGGGACATATTGGGGTATATTACAGGTAAGGCAGAGAAAGGGAGAAGTTTGCAACTTCCTGTTAAATGACTTTCTCCTAGTCACGGTCTAGCAGATTCTGCTGAATATCTACGTTTATATTTTATTAAATATGAAAGTCTTTTTGGTTGGGTTTTGTGTTAGTGACCATGAGGAGGGGAATATGTGCGTGCATGTGTACACACACACACACACACATAAATGTAAATATAAAATTTAGCAGTCTAATTGATGGATGGTGATTGATAAATGTATATGGAGATTTAGAGACAAAACCTAAAGACGGTCAGTGCTCCTTGCAGATTATCTCTGAAACATTGTTCTCTCCTACATCCCTCTGTGCATCTTGGTGCCACAAGGTTGCCTCTGATGGGTACCAGTTCTTGAGAGCAACTTGAGAAGATAACCTGCTCTGCAAATTTGAACCTACTTTTTAAAATTAACATTTCAGGAAAAATGAAAGAGCCTGTAAGTCGATTTATATCAATCAAGGAGCACTTAAAAGTCTTGGGTCACTTTCCTTTTAGTAAGTTCAATAACCAAGCTTTTTGCTTTAAGTCTTTATGACCCCTTACACCCTGGCTGGTGTGGCTTAGTGAATTGGGTGCTAGTCTTGGAACTGAGGAGTCACTGGTTCAATTCCCAGTCAGGGCACATGCCTGAGTTGCAGGCCAGGTCCCTAGTTGGGGGTGTGGGAGAAACAACCAGTCAATATATCTCTTGCACATGGATGTTTCTCTCCCTCTCTTCCTCCCTCCCTTCCCCTCTCTCTAAAAGTAAATAAATAAAATCTTTTTTAAAAAAGTTTTTATGACTTTCTTATTATGTGCCTTGTGATGCTTATTTCTGGGTTTCCCACACCCTTTTAATCATTTCTCCCTACCTTCTGCTTATATGTCCCCCAAAAAAGGCTTTTTATTTCATTTATGTACAACCTGATTAGAAAGACAACTCTACTGCCAAAACTACATTAAAATGATTTGTAAAGTGTACTTAAAATTATTCTTTTGGTGTTGATGTCACTGGCATCCAACTGTTAAATGACTTTCTCCTAGTCATGGTCTAGCAGATTCTGGTAATGGTCTAGCACGGTCTGCTAGAACATTAGTACATTCACTGATAACTGTGTTACTGGATTTAAGTGCCCAAATGGATTGCCGCAAGTTCAACGGATATAGCAAGGTAAAACAGACTTCCTCTTGAGTATAGCTGGGGATTCTGCTGTCTTTATTCCACTTAGCCTATGTGCCTATTTTCCTCGCTGCAAAAGCATGTATAATGGTTTTATGTTTTAACCTTGGCTTCCTAGAATACTAGGTCTAGCTGGGAAGAAGAAAGGATCTATGGACATGGCTCTGGCACTTGTCACTCTCTACTAAACATTTATAGGGCAGAAGGGAAAGTTGGCCAAAGAGTATCAATGTGAGAAGTACCTCTTGCTAAACTGAACTCCCCTCTCTCTTCTCCTCTGCAGAGGGGGTGCCCTGCTGACTTCCACCAGTGGCCCTGGCTTCCATCTCATGCTCCCTTTCATCACATCATACAAGTCTGTGCAGGTATACTTGGCTCGTGTGGTGGGGCTGGACAACTGCAGGTTTGGGGTGTTGACGAAGGCATGATTTGGAATTTAGCCATTGGATGAGTATAATGTCTCTTCAAGGAATCATTTAAGAATAAGTTTTATATATAAAGAATGGGGCTTCATTAACTCTGGAGTCTCAATAGTTGAAATAGTCTAAATGTTGAATGGGGTCCTTGCCTAGGCCTATCAGCCCCACCTGGGAGGTATTTCTTCACTTCAGGACAGAGCCAGAGAAGAATCTGTTTTCAATGTAAAGAAGGAAAAGTAGGGTATATGTGTCTGAGCTTTAAATCACAGGCTACCAAGACAGATGGAAATAAAATATGATAATTTTGCTGGTTCTTAGTTGAATTTCAGAGATGTGAACATCATTTTTGGGAAGGACAAGGGAAGTTGAACGTGTTGAAGGGAAATGACATCTAAAATAGGAGTAGAATCACTTATGACAGATCTAAAGCCTAGCTAAATTAGACTAGCTGTCTTTGAAGTATGTTCAGTATCCTAGGCTACTTCATCAGCACTTTCCTTGTAAGCTGCTTCTGCCACGTGCTCTGCTTTATGGTTGTCTGAGTGCACTCGTGCACATTATCTCGTCTGGATCGCACAGTGACCCTGAGAATGGGCCGAGCAGCCCTCTGGACTCAGACAGGTTGAAGTAAAGAATCTGTTTCAAGACCAGTAAATGGAAGAGGCAGAAATAAACACAGGTCTTGGGATTCCTCATCCAGGGTCTTTTTCACTAAACCATTATTACCCAGCTCGTTCAGATCATGGTTCACTCACAGTGGAAGCTGGCTAAGTACCTTTGTTTGGTTAGTCTTACACCCTGTAAGTCAGGAGAATATGGAGGGGTATTCATGTTTAACAAAGAAAAAGCTCAACCACGTTAGGTGTTCAAGGACAAGGCCATTTAGAATGCCAAAAATAGGTTACTTTATTTGTCACTGCCCATCTAACAGCATTTTATGCCTCCTCTATTGCCAGACCACACTGCAGACGGATGAGGTGAAGAATGTACCTTGTGGGACTAGGTAAGGTGCCTGAGCCCATCTGAGGGAAGGGCTTCTGGGCTGGCCGTAGTCAGAAACGGTGACATGGGAGGCACCTCGTGGTTGTACCTGGCCACTGGCTCCCTGTGTTCTGACTGCAGCAGGCAGTGGGGAGCAGTGGAGAAAAATGACGAAGTTAGGTTTGGGAGGGCCCCAAGTGTCCCAAGAAGTTTGGCCTTTTTCCATTAGGAGTGAGAATCCTCTAACGGCTTCTAGCCTATAAATGACTTGATAGAGGAAGATAACGTTAGTATAACTAACCACAGAGAATGGCTTAATGGGGATGAGGGCTTACGGGCAGGAAATCCAAAGATAACCTCACTATAGTGGTCCCGTGGAAAAGTAAAAAGGTCTAAAGTGGGATGGAGTAACAAAGTAAACACCACAGGAAACATTTGGGCAGATCCACAGTTGAGGCCCCCCCACAGGACAACAGGTCTGATCTCAGCACAAAGTCACAGCTGGAGGGGCATTGCAGAGAAAAGGAGACTTAAAAGACAAACAAATGCAATGGTGAGCCTTAATTAGAAGGTGGTCCAAAAATAACACTTGTACAAGACTTGATGAAATTGTATTAGTCAGTTTGGGCTGCCATAACTGGATGGCTTAAACAACAGAAATGTATTTTCTCACAGTTATTGAAGCTCCAAGTCCAAGGTGAAGGTGCCAGCAGGGCTGGTTTCTGGTGAAGCCTCTCTCCCTGGCGTGCAGATGGCTGTCTTGCAGTGTCCTCAGATGGCCCTTTCTCTATACATTAGAGGGGAAAGCAATGTCTGGAGTCCTATCTTTTCTCTTTTTTTAAGAGTCTAATCAGTTAGGGTCTGACCCTTATGACCTCTTTTAACCTTAATTACTTCTTTAAGGGCTCTGTCTCCAAACATAGTCACATTGAGGGGTTAGAGTTTCAACATAGGGGTTTGGGAGGGACACAGTCCGTAATAGGAATTCCTGGGGAAGTTTGAGTGACTGGGTGTTAGGTAATGTGAAGGAATTATTGCTGATTTTCTTAGCTTTGGGAATGGTTTTGTGGCTATGTAGGAGAAGGTCATTTTTCTTAGCTGATGTCGCTAAGTATTAAGGGGTTAAGTATCATGACTGTAACTTATTTTGAAGTTTTCAGCAAAAAAAGGTAGATTAATCCATAAGGTAAAATGTTTAACAACTTAAATTTCAGTGTTGGTAAATGGGTTTTAGTTCAACTTTTCTGTATCTTTGAAATTTTGGAGGAAAGGGGAAGTGCTTTATTCAAGTGATGTTGAAGACGATGTGAGAAACGTCCATAAATTCCACAATGACCTTTGACTTTTTAGGTTCTGAGAACTCCTCCACCTCCTTTAGTCTTTTCCCTTCAATCATTTTAGTAAAATATTGCAGATTCAAAGATATGAACTACTCTTTTCTTACTGGCGTATCAAAAGTTTCACTGTTTTCTTTGCGGAATTATTTTTAGGAAGTGCGATTTCTCAGGAGATTGTGCTCTTGCTGTGAGCTCTGAAGTTCTCCTACTTGTAAATCCAACATGCCTTCTGAGCTCTCATGAATACTTCTCCTTTTCCACTGAGTCACATGTTAGGTCATCACCGAGGAAACTGCACTGTATTCCAGAGCTTTTTTAGTGACTTCTTTGCCATCCTTCCCCTCACAGTGGTGGTGTGATGATCTACTTTGACAGAATTGAAGTGGTGAACTTTCTGGTCCCAAATGCAGGTATGTTTTTCCCCTTGACCCCCACCACCAGCTTACTGTCCCCAGCATGCCACCCCAGCGTCTGTCACAGCACCTCAGGACAAGGAACTGCTCTGGCTGGGCAAGTTTTAAGTCCTACCTTCTCTTGTTCTGAAACCTCTCCTTCCCTCCCAGTGTATGATATAGTGAAGAACTATACCGCTGACTACGACAAGGCCCTCATCTTCAACAAGATCCACCACGAACTGAACCAGTTCTGCAGTGTGCACACACTTCAGGAGGTCTACATTGAGCTCTTTGGTAAGAAAGTCTCTTCTAATCAGAGCCTGCCTCAGCAGCCCTGCTTCCCCCCGCTGACTACTTGTGAGCTACCCCCAGGCTAGGGTGGGTGCTGCTGGACAGGAGGGGTTAAAGGACCTAGTGGTCAGGAACTGGTCACAAAGGGCACTCCTAGAAAATGCTGGTGACAGTGGAAGATCATGAGAGCGGTTGAGCTTTGGGCGCAGGAGGAACTGTGTCGACAGCCGGGCTTGCCCCCGCCTGGACCACAGGACTGGCATGGAGCTGTGTTTCCACGGTCCCTAAGGCATCACTCTGAAAGAAAGGCAGGCTCACTTGTAGAAGAACCTTAGAGATTATCCAGCCCAACATCCTCATTTTAAAGTAAGGGTACCTACACATAAATAAAGTTGTACAGCTAGTTCGTGACGGCTGAAGCCAGGACCTCCCTCTCCTGGCCCTCACTTTGTGTGCTTTCCACCACGTCACACTGAATGAAAGGCACACAGCAAAGACTGGAGGGCGGGATGGTTCACCTTTAATGCTACAAGTAGGACGAGGACCATAGCCACTTACAGTTCCTAGAACCTTTCTGGGGGATTTTGTGTGTTTTTTATTTGTTTGTTTATTTGTTTACTCTATACCTATAGAGATGAATAGGAAGAAGCAGCAACAAAGGAAGGAAACATTTCAGTAATTGTTACAGCTCTTTTGTGGTAAAATGTTCTATTATAAACTTGCTGATAGAAGCTTTCTAGTAGCCAGTACTAAAAGTCAATAGATTTTTCAACCCATTGCACCCAAGAATAGGTATTCTTGATAGTAGGACTGGACAGTGATTATTCCCAGGAATCTCCATAAAAAGGACCTGAGTGAGAACACGTTTTAGAGGAGACAGAAGGAGGACTCATTGGCGGTGCCAATGACCTTGATTAAGCAGTCGGCCCTCTGCACTGTGTTTCAGATTTGGAAAACCATCAGAATCACTTTTAATTTTCTGCAGCAGAAAATGAATCTAAATTCATTCTATAGGGTTTAGATTCTTTTATTGGGTTTGAATTCAGTGTGCTTTCAGGAAAAATTTGGTAAATTTGCTATTTTTTTAATCAAACAGATTTTTATAAAATACCATTAGTTTTCTCTCTAGCCATTGTTTACCAACTCATACCATTAATTGAACATTTCAGAGCATTTGAAACAACAAAAGACAAAAGATCTCTAATTTCCATGAAGAGGAAATTAAAATGTGAAATTGTTTTACATTAAAAAACTTCTCACTGTCTCAGAGATCAACATGGTGGCTTAGTGAAGTATAACTTCGTGTACAAAGGAGCTGGGAATTAAATTTGCTTTGAAATTTTTTTCTTTTTAAAGCTCAGTCTTGCCAGCAGCATTGTTTTGCTAAGAATATATTTGCATCCATAAAGGAGAAACTAGAGTCTCTAATCCTTTTCCTTAACCATCAAAGGTTTTTTTCTATTGTAGTTCCCTCCTCTCAGGATTCCTAGCCCTGACTTTCAACATGACTGCATAATTCTCATCACTGCTTACTCTGATGCATCCTCTTTGCCCATTTTATAAAAATACTATCTAGCCCTGGCCAGCTCGCTCACTTGGTTGAAGCATCATCCCATACACCAGAAGGCTGCAGGTTCAATTCCTGGTCAGGGGACATGCCTAGGTTGCAGGTTCAGTCCCCATTCATAGGGTATATCAATGTTTCTCTCTCTTTCTCCCTCCCTTCACCTCTCTATAAAAATAAACAAAATAGATTTTTAAACCAATGGAAAAAAAAGCATATGCTCGGGTGAGAATTAAAATTATATATATATAATTTTATATATATATATATATAAAATCTAGTACTTGTTCAAAAGTTTACCTTAAGAACATCTTTGTATATACTTAATAATATATCTTAGCCTGCCTTCATTAGCATAACTGTAACATAAACAACTTATTACCAGTATTACTTTGGTAAACCACCTTTCAAAATATTTCTTTCAAAAACAAAAAACATTTCTTTCAGATTTTCCTAGAAAGTTACTAGCCCACAGCCACAGGTTTCTACTTTGACTCAGATATAATTTGGTCTGATAAATGGCTGTTATTAATAACTTATGGAGGGTATAGGCCACCTCACTTAAAGTTTGGTACGTATCCTATTTAAAATAGAAGCTATGAAATGCAATACTTATCTCTAGCTGTGAAATTGTTAGACCAGTGTCAGGTACAAGGTCCTACTTTTATGGGCCTTTCTCCCTCAGTGCTAGGAGGCCTGTGAGAGCATATCCAATACATGGAAACATTAAAATCCCTTGCTCACTAATATGACTGTTGAAAAGGTACTGTTGTAAACCCTAAAAATCAAAACGTAGTAATTAAACAAGTTCATCATTTTGTCTACTAACTAGCTTGAACATGTCTCAACTTCTGTGGATCTCAGTTTGGGCATCTATAAAAGGCAGGAGATAGATTTTCTATTTCTCAGAGGCTTCTGTTTGGGCACATGTGACCAAGAATGGCCCCTGAAAGCAGATTGCAGCCTGACAATAAGGGAGGTGATTGGGTTTAGATGTCCCAACCTGATTTCACGGAGTCTTTCTGTTGGTGCCCTTCTGGGATCTTACTTAGGATCTGAGGCCAAAAAAGGCAGCCTGGTGCTGCCGTCCTGGGACCACAGCTAGAAGGGGGATCAGTCATAGATCTTCCTACAGTTGTCTATGAAATGACTCACATGTGAATTCCAGGCAAAGGAATCGGGACCAAAGCAAACAACACATCAAAAGACTTGGGCTCATTCCAGAACTGTAAATTTTTATTTTCCCCTTGTGTTATTTGATGGAGTTCCTAATGAAAATAGTCTTCCTTGGGGCTTCGTTGACGTCAGAATCTGTTTTTTCTTTTACAGACATTTAAAATTACTAGATTTAATGTGCGCGGCTCTTTTCAAAACACCTAACATAGCCATTTCATCATCCTTCTTCATGAAAACTGGGCACCTGCCTTCTGTTTCACTCCCATTTCCTGGAGAAAGGCTGCGGCCTGTTCAAAAAATTGTGCTAGAATTGTTGTTTGTTCTTTTTTTTTTTTTTTTTTTAAGCTCAGTTTCCTTTTGGGCAAGGCTGCTATTTTCAACAACCTAGATGATTATATCTTGAGGCCGCAGGAAAAGGATACTTTCACATCTAGCCTGTGGACAGGGGCTGCGGAGGCATGTCGCTCTGAAAGTCTTGCTGGGGGACTTTAGATTTCTGAGCTATGATAAACACTTCACCTAGAGAAGGTCTTTTGCCTGTGAGGTGCATTCTTGAGCTGGTATTTTAGCTTTAACTCTACCTGCATACTTCCCTCCACCTGCCTAGAAAGCATGACAACCCCTTTTCCTATCTTTTTTTTTTTTTTTTTTTTAAAGATTTTATTTATTTTTAGACAGAGCAGAAGAGAGGGAGAAAGAGAGAGAGAAACATCAATGTGTGGTTGCCTCTCGCACACCCCTTCCCGGGGACCTGGCCCACAACCCAGGCATGTGCCCTGGCAGAAATCAAACCGGCAACCCTTTGGTTCGCAGGCTGGCACTCAGTCCACTGAGCCACGCTAGCCAAGGCATTCCTATCTTTCTTGATTCCAGATCAGATTGATGAAAATCTCAAATTGGCTTTGCAACAGGACCTGACCTCCATGGCCCCTGGGCTTGTCATCCAGGTAAGCATTGCCACCATGGAGTGTCCCCTGATGATGGTGTATTCCCACCCGCACCCCACCCCCACTGCTTTTCAAGGGATGTCCTTTCTGTGCAGGAAGATCAAAGACCAAGGGGAGCTGCTTAGGTGCCTCACCACCCTCACTTTCCTATCAGGTGCTATTCTTATCCTTCTCCAGGCTGTTCGGGTGACAAAGCCCAATATACCCGAGGCGATCCGCAGAAACTACGAGTTGATGTGAGTACCCTCTGCCTCAGCTATAACCACCACACTCACCCACCCCATCCCACCCCAGCGTTCCCTGAGGCAGTGCCAGGCTTTCATTCTCCATCTGGAGTATTTGTCCCAGCCCATGGCACCGTGGGATGGAGCAGACATGCCACAACGGTCACCTGGGCTCTATATCTGTGACTGAGCTCCATAGAGAAGCCCTCTTGAGCAGTGATGCTTTTAAAGGGGCCAGAGGCCCTTGTCTGCTTCACAGCTCATGCCAAAGAAGATAGGAGAGAAAGATGAATAAGTAGGCAGGCAAGTGCATTTTACTAAAGTAAATTATGCTCTGTTTCCCACAATTGAGTTATTTTGGAGGAGGAGGAGGTGAGCCATGTCTGCAACAGATCTGCTTTTACACGGGACATTGAACCACCTACCAGGAGAAAGTAAGAAATCAGAGTTTGCCTCTTCTCAGCAGGAGAGTTTGGCTTCTCCAGGGGACAGTGAAGTTCCTCAGAAGCTTTCCATAGCGACCTCACAACTGCATACTTTTTTCCCCTTCAGGGAAAGCGAGAAGACAAAGCTGCTTATTGCAGCCCAGAAACAGAAGGTGGTGGAAAAAGAAGCTGAGACAGAGCGGAAGAAGGCCCTCATTGGTCTGGATATGGTTCTCTGATCCCCTTTCAGACCAGAAGGACTGGGAGTGGTGGGAAGAGTCATGGGAACCTCAGGCACAGTTAGACCACATGTTCTAACCCTTGCCACCTGCAGGAGTGGCTCTTAGATTCCCAGAAGCAAAGCTGACATTGTCAGATTGTGGCCAGCGGCAGTAAGTTTTGAGTTTCCACATATCTCTTAAATGAAAGGAACCCTTACTGTTCATTCATAATGATAGTGGCTAACACTTACTGAGCACTTACTATGAGCCATGTACTTTCCGAACTAAGCACTTACGTGTAAATTCTCTTACTCCTCACAGCCAGCGGGTGGGGGAGGTACTTACCTTAACCTCACTTTACTGAGCCGGAGCACAGAGAGTGAAGCACAGAGAGGCTGAACAATGTGCCCAAGGTCTTATGGCAAGTGAATTGGTGGGACTCTGGTTCAGATCCTGGGATTCTGCTGCACAACCTGGGTCCTTAGCCGCTACACTAGACTATCAGCAACAAACCTTACTACTACCTAAAGTGAAGAGGCCGGAAAAAACGTTTTAGAGAGTACCTTATTCCTTAAAATATTCCTTTAAGAGAAATACTTTTGTGATTTAAGAGAGAGGTTAGGGCTTGTTCCCTGATTTCATCAGAGTGATAACTGTCCTCCCTTGGGCCCACAACTCCCCAGTTACTGTCTTGTGCCGATGCCATTGCTCGTGCCCACTGGGACACTCCATCTCTGCCCTTGTGTGCCTGTCTTGGTTGTCCTCCGGGACCTGCGTCTGAGCTTACCCACATTCCTGCATCAGGGTCTGTGATCAGGTGAAAGCTGAAACCAAGTCAAACTCTCGAAATAGTAGAGCTCTAAGCCTTTTCTCAACTTCATATAGAGGCGGAAAAAGTAGCCCAGGTTGCAGAAATCACCTATGGACAGAAGGTGATGGAAAAGGAGACTGAGAAGAAGATTTCAGAAATTGAAGGTAAGCAGAAGTGCAATTCATGCCTGAATTTTCTTCAGACCCTACTTTGTGGCAAGGGGGTGAGAACATCGTTTCCTTTGCTCTTTAACCTCTGCTCTAAGATCTGTTGATTTGTTGGGAACATCACTTTTTCTCTGTGCTTTCACTTCAGGGCAGATGTGGCATTAATTTTCCACTTGAGAGAGCATGCATTCCTTCAACAAATGTCAGCTGCATGTCATTAGGCACTCATATTAGGCATAAGAAAAAGGGATATCACACAGTCCTGCTGTCTTGGAGCTCACAGTCTGGCGTAGGGAGTAAACTAAAAAACGAGGCCAAAACAGCAGCTCTCTCCCTCACTCCTTTCCTACGCCCTCCTTGGAAGTCGGCGAGCACCAAAGCTTTGGCCTCTTGAGTCTGCTGTCAGGGACCTGTGGTTGATAAGCTGGCTGGGAAGAAGACACCCTTTCAGCGCCAAGAGCACAGGCTGGAGAGAAGTGCTCCTTTGCCAGCTTTTCTGAATATCATTTGCCTTCAGTTCCCTGCCCCTCAGCCCTTACCTCATTCCCACCACCTGCCTTTTCCTTCCTGTGGTATATAAGTATCAAGCAAATTCTAGGACAAAAGGGGACCCCAAGGCTCAGCTTCAGGCTACAAGGTGCTATGCCCAGTCATACACTTTATGGGGCCTGCCAGGCTTTGGATTGACTCATTGAGGAGCCAGTTAAGATTTTACAAATCAGCAACTCCTCATTAGGGAACTCAGCAAAACCATACGCTTTTATTTCTTATAAATACATGTCATCAGGTGCTAAGGCCAGTTAAGTGAGCCTCATGTAGCCGGAACTCCAGCCAGACTGCGGGCTCCTTCCACTCAGGTTCATGCTGAGGGTGCACAGTAAAAACCCACCCACAGACTGACCTTTCTTCCCAGGCCTTTTGCTGCAGATACTATTCATGTGAGATTGACCTCATTCCCAAGGCAAGGAAGTAAATATCAAAAATTTTGCATCAACTCAATGGAAAGCTAGTCTCAGCAGATTGAGAAAGTATATTGCTTGCATAGTAGAAGTTGAAACAGGTCTTAATTCTAGCAAGTGTTAGTCTGGATGAGGGCTTGTAACTCTTATTAGAGTGTGCCAGCTTAACAGCTGTTAATTAGGACTTTCTTGAAATGATTGATGGAAAGAAAAGGAAAATGATGTTGGAGAGGGACTGAACTATTTTATGCTTACAATATTCGGCGTTAGGGTGGATCTGCCTCTGGCTGTATTCAGAGCCTTCTTTGGGCATCTCTTGCTTTTGCTGGATGTAGCACAAGAGGGGCGAGAGGAAAGCTCAGACTGGAGGTTGAGGCAGGGCCCCTCCACAGGCACGGAGCTACAGAAGGAGTAAGAGTGCAGAAACAGGAAGTGCTCCAGGCGGCAGTGCCTGTCCTGATAATGTTGTCAAATAAGATGGTCATTTAACCAAACCACTTCTCTGTTTATAAACATTGTGAAAGATAGCTTAAATATGTTTTAAAGTTATATGCAGGTATAGATTAAAAACGTTCATGCAGGCGATAGTACTCCTGGTAGCATTCAGCCTGAAAGTCAGCCCTTCCCCTCCAAAGAGATAGGCTATTCCAAGGGAAAATAAATAGAACTTCATTCAGCAAAAAAAATAAAAAAGATGTTGGGCACAGCAATGGACTTCCTCATGACTAGTCCCCACCACAGGGAGATGCAGTCAAAGCACATGTTCCCCTATTTCACAGGTGAGGAAACCAAAGCACAGGGGAAAAAGCAACCTCCCCAAGTTCAGAGGCAATCAGGGAAAGTGGCAGGGGCCAGCCCCAGGCTTCTGGTAGCCTCTGCACTGCAGTTCACTGCGTTCTTCCCCTCAGACGCTGCGTTCCTGGCCCGGGAGAAGGCAAAGGCTGACGCTGAGTGTTACACTGCTATGAAAATCGCTGAAGCAAATAAGGTAAACGCCCAGTGCCACCTGTTAAAGAGGACATATGTTTGGGTTTAGGCCAATACTGGTTGAGAGTTCCTGGTGTTGGAAGACCACCACCCAAAGCCCCTCGTGGCCAGAAGTGACTTCTGCGCTGTGCGGGACAGGCACTTCCCTTTTCCTTGGTAGTGCCTCGATGGAAGTATAGTGTTTGTGTCAAACATGGAAACTCCTACAACTCTTGCAGCTCTGGTCTTGAAAATCCAAGATTACTTTCTCTTAGAGAAGCGGTCACCCTGTTACTAATGTAACAGTGAGACGAGAAGTAGAGAGAGCGTGTATCTTTGACAGAGACCCTCTCCCTGTGTCCAGTGAAGGGGTGCCACCCATAATTTTCCCTAATCTGGCTCCACCTAAGTCTTCTTTACTTTTTCCTTTTTTTCAGCTAAAGCTGACCCCTGAATATCTGCAGCTGATGAAGTACAAGGCCATTGCTTCCAACAGCAAGATTTACTTTGGCAAAGACATCCCTAACATGTTCGTGGACTCTGCAGGCAGTCTGGGCAAGCAGTTTGAGGGGCTAGCTGACAAGCTGAGTTTTGGTTTAGAAGATGAACCCTTGGAGGCAGACACCGAGGATAATTGAAACAGAATTTTTATACAACCTCAGGTGACACTTAAAGAAAGAGATCTTTATTTTTTAATGATGAACTAGGATGTTCCTCCCTCTTACACTACCTTCTTTGACTGTCTTCCACGTACTATGGTGGAAAAAAAGAGGAAACGGACTTAAATCTATTCCCCTGGGAAGGGAGGGCAGGGATTGATAATTTTGGGGTTTTATTCAGGTATGTAGGCTATTTGACTTCTGTTAAGATTTGTAAACCATGAGTTTGACCTATGACCTCCCGGTATTAATTTTAATCCTTTGAAGCTGACTTAATTAAGAATGCTACCATTAAGGAGTGGGAGAAATAGAGGGTGTTGCTTGTAGATGGTTTGATTCCCCTTATTTGGGAAAACACCATCCAGAGTCTTCGTCCCTGCCTTCGAGGTAGGAGATGCCTGTGGGTGAGGCTCACAACTGAGCAAATACGTGCTTGTACGTTTGCCAGGAGAGCCAGGGGGAACAACTGCAGCATGTTTGGCTTTCCTGGCATTTTTGTCAGTGCAGGCATGAGTTATTCAGAGGTGCACTTACTGAGCCCTCATAAGGAAGAACGGGTGCTAGATTTTGCAAGCTTTTCTATACATGCTACCCTCGTTGCCCTCGGGCTTAAAGTGGTGTTTCTGACTGCATTGCCAGAGCCAAGGTCTGCTCATTGCCACACAGTTCTTTTTAAAACTTTTCACCTAGTCTGTGATTTGGGGATATTTTTTCCCCTCTCAATCTCTTTGTTGGTTCCAGTCAGCATCAAGAAGACAGGAACAAGCAACTCAAGTGTCTTAATAGCTGCTAAAGTGGGATCATTATGTCTGTTAGCAACTAAGGTACCTGCTTGGCAAACTCTGTATGTTCCTTGATGTCAAGTGTCTTTTTATTGTTGTGGCAATTCTACAGTGAAGATTCTCTGGAAGAGAAGGGAGGCTCATCCAAAAGCATTCCTAACCTTAAGGTATATGGCTTGTGCTGGGAGTTTGGTGTCGTGATAGACCCATTTTTAAACCCAGGGCTTCAGGCTGCCACACAGACATCAGACTGAATATTCAGTCTCCAGAGACAGCTGTGTGGGTGCAAGTCCAAGTTCCTGCCCAAGTCCCTGGGTTGAAGCCGCTGCATCAAAATCTGTGCCGATGTTTTCTTTCTCATTGCTAATTAGGAAAAGTTTCAGTCACCTGGGAGATTTGGGAAGGGGGAGAGCAAACATGAAAGAAAGATGTTCTTATATCCTGGAATTGGAGTTGGGGGTAGGGACAGCCTGCATAGGCCTTGAGTTGAGCACCATATTGTTAAGTGGAGGACAGCTATCTGGAGTTAACATGCAAGCATGTTGGTGTTCTCCATGATGAGCTCTGGTTCAGGATTTGTTAGATTCTTCCCCTCCCCCCAGAAAACCCCTCTCTACACCCAGTGGCTCAACGAGTCTGTGAATGCTCCTTTGTGGCACAGGTCCCCGCTTACTCTTTGGTCCCCTGCTCAGACTTCTAGTTTATCAAATGGCTCCAGAACTCAAGGCCAGCTTACCCCTAAGTAGCAAGTTTGGGGAGCTTTCTGCCTGCCCAGGAAGAAACAAAATGTTACCTCCTCTTAATTCAGATGTTGCCCTTCTCTTTTCTGACTTTTGGGTCTAGAATCTTCAAACCACGGTTCCTGATCACATTTTGTGCAGGCAGCCAAATGTTCCTGGGAGTGATGAATTTCAGCATGCTCTGAAGTCCTCGCAGAAGGCAGCCAGTCTCCCAAGACCAACATAGAGTATCCATTATTAACATATTCTCACCCTCCTCCCACTCCAGTGCCATTAATCACCTGTTAGAAGCAACATGTCAGGTCCCCCATCCCTAATTTACATATTTGTCTGTTCCCTGTACTCTGAGAATTGCTACCTAGGCCTCAGAATACACTACTTCACTACAATTGAATAAGTAGCAAGGGTATCTCAGTCTGTTGGAATAGCATGTTTGCTCAGGTTCTTATGTGAAAAGTCTCCTAACACTAACATCCTGTGGTAGCTTGTCCCTTACGTTAGATGCTCTTTGACCACAGGAGAGCCTCAGTGAAGTCCTGCAGCCTCTACTCCCCTTGATGTTAACGTCGCTTCTTCCTTAAACAAGAAATATAAATGTTATAGTTCTCACTAGTTTGAATCCAGTGGTTGTCTGTACATGCCTCAATAGTAAGATCATGGAAGTCACCTCTTTCCTTAGCATGGGACAACTAACCAATCTGTCTGTGTGACTTTCTTTAGCACTTACTAGAAAATCTGATCTTAACATTTGAATCCTAAACACATAAAATGTGACAGCCTGCAGTTTTGTAGGCAGTAAAGTCATGGCTGCTATTTATAAATGGAACTTCTATCAAAATAAGTAACTGTTTATAAAATTCAGTTTTTGTAGAATTTTCCAAGGAAAAGTCACCTTGGTTGAATGTTTCTCACTCATTAAACTTTGCAGAAGTGATTCATATTCAGTATTGTTTCTAATCACTTTTTTATATAAGGACAGAATGTTTACAAGGAAGCCAAAGTTTGTTAATTTTTATATAACTAAAATAAGATAAATTTGGAGAAATCTATAATCATATTAAGTTGAGGGAGAAAAGAAATCACTGAAAGAATTTTAGCAATACTCAGGAGCAAGTGGTGGCGGGTAAATGGAGACAAATGTATTTGAACAATATAAATAAATAAATAAATAAAAATGTTAAAAAATACTACAAAAGAAGGAATTTTAGCAATATAGGCAGGTCCTCAAATAACATCTTTTGATTCAACAGGATTTTGTTACAACATTGATAAGATACCATAGGAACTCAACTTTTGTTTATATCAATTAGCCTGTCATAAAATCATTATACATCATTTTACTTAAAGTCACAGAACCTGTTGACAATGCTGGGGACTTACTGTGTATTGATCCAAAAAAAGATGTTTTATAAATGCTCTGTTGCAATTTCTATGGGTCTATCAACACTGCTAAGTTTATCATTTATAGAGAGTAGTGGAAGTAAGATCATCATATTTACTGACTTACCTATTTGCGTTTGAGGATCAAATGTACAGATGCTCCTCAACTTATGATGGGGTTTTGTCCCAATAAACCCATTATAAGTTGAAAATATCATTAAGTTGCCCTGACCAGTGTGGCTTGGTTGGTTGGAGCATTGTCCTGTGCACCAAAAGATTGCAGGTTCAATTCCCTGTCAGGGTATATACCTAGGTTACAGGTACCTGGTCGGGACACGTGCAGGAGGCAACCGATTGATGTCTCTCTCTCTCTCTCTCTCTCTCTCCCCCCCCCCTCTCCCCCCCGCCCCCTCTCCCCACGTCCCCACCCTCTCCCCTGCCTTTTCTCTCTAAATCAATAAATGTATCCTCAGGTGAGGATTTTAAAATTTTTTTTTAATTAAAATATTAAGTTGAAAATATATTTAATAAATCAAACCTATTGATCATTATGGCTTAGCATAGCTTACTTTAAACATACGCAGAACACTTACATTAGCCTACAGTTGGGCAAAATCATCTAACACAAAACATTTTATAATAAAATTTGACATTATAACCATCATAAAGTCAAAAAATCATCAGTGGGGGACAGTCTGTATCTTGGCTAGTGGCTACTCTGTGTCTATGAACTTAACCACTACTCCTTTAATTCTATTCAGTAGGGAATTAGCTGCTGTTTCTATTGCTTTCCTATGGAAGAGGTAATAGCCAATCATTTTGTGTTTGTATTTCCCTTCCTTTTTATTTCTAGTTTTACATAAGCAAGTGATCAAACTAATTCTAGTTTCAAAGAGCCATGAGGGATTAAAGACCCCCTTTGTAACTGAGAAATGATTCTTGTTATATTAATCACTCTATAAATGAATGATATTCTGGATTAATTGCCTTGAGTTGATAGAGGAATTGTTGGACAACACCAAAGGTATGTACTCATGTCTTAGCTTTATTTTCAGTCTTGCTAAATGAGTCTTTGTATTTACTTTTTTATCAAAGCGAAATTTAGCAATACCTAATATTAGACTAGGTGAAAAAAGAAATAAAATATCCCTGTGAGTTGAGTACAAGATCACCCTAAAAATACATTAAAATGAATAGACAGGGTCTGGGACAAATAATGCCCCTTTTTATTACAAAATCATAAGCATGTAATTCTGGTATATAACAATATCACACTCAAGCACACCATATGACATTTTAGGAGAAATGTTCAAATTGAAACTATAAATTATTACACCCATATTATTACCCTACCAACCACAGTCAGGCAGGCCTTGCTTCAGCCAGATCCTATATATATCCTCATTATCAATGTAAAAACAATAAAAGCTAATTTGTAAACATGGCATAATTCTTGGTAGGTGCTATAGAGGTTCATAATTTTAAAGAATCCATACCCCACTGCAATCCGGCTCCAAAGGGCAGAGATACTTTCAATTGACCCCAAATTAATTGTGATACCAATTCAGTGAAAAAGTCTCAGTCTCCACTCTTCAAAGATTGCCCAGCCTAGGGTTGCCAAATTCAGAATGCCCAGTTAAACATGAATTTCATATAAACAAATAATTTTTAGCATTAGGTATCTAACAAATATTGCATTAGACATACTAAAAATGTCTTCATTGTTTACATAAAATTCACATTGAACCAAATATCCTATCTTTTTATTTGCTAAATCTGGCAACCCTAGCCCAGGCTTTCTCAGGTTTTGTTTGTTTTTTACATTTTTTATTGTTATTCTGTTACAGTTGTCCCAATTTTTCCCCCTTTGCCTTCCTCCACCCAGCCCACCCCCTGCTCCCACAGTCAGTCCCACTCGGTTGTCTGTATCCATAGGTCATTCATACATGTTTTTTAACTGATCCCTTCCCCTGCTTTCCACCATTATTTCCCTCCCTCAGGTTTTTCAATGGTGCTCCCAAACTTCATTGGCTTGAGAGCCTACTAAACAAATAATGTGAACTTACAATAGAATAGACAAGAATACAGAGACTGGAGTAAGACTGCCAAGATTCAAATCCCGACTCTACCACTTCTGAAGTATAAGGTCTTCAATAAATTCTTTAACCTGTTTGAGCCTCAGTCTCTTCATCTATAAAATGGGGTGATTGAATTAAATGAAATAATGGACACAAGGGTTTAGCATTGTGTCTAGCCTGCATAAGTGTTCAAAAATACTTATTTTCAATCATCTAGAAAAATAGGCTAGAAAGTACACAACTATTAAGTGGGTACCACTAAGTGGAAAATCAGGTGTGATAACACAGAATAAGGTTACAAATAGGACAGGCCATAGAGGAAGAAGGGAAAGATAGTGCAATGCAGCAAACACAGTATTGAGAATACATACGTCTGTAGAAGTATAGTAAGTAGAAAATAACCTGGTTTGGCTCTGTTGAGAGTCAGAATTGCTGTGTTCCAGGCTCTAATTAGAGAAAAACTTTAAAAGGCTAGAGAAAAAAGAAAATGTTAAAACCAAAAGAAAAATGTAGTTGAAAAACAAATCTCATGGGTTGACCCCAAGAGAGGCTGAAGAGAAATTTACTAAACTTCCATTTATAAAAGTTGCATAATGGGCCCTTGCTGGTGTGGCTCAGTGGATTGAGCACCAGCCTGCAAAGCAAAGGGTCTCTGGTTCGATTCCCAAAATAGGGTGAATGCCTGGGTTGCAGGCCAGGTCCCCAGCAGGGGGGGCGTGCAAAATGCAACCACACATTGATGTTTCTCTCCTCTTTCTCCCTCCCTCCTCCTCTAAAAATAAATAAATCTTTAAGAAAAAAAGTTGCATGATGGTTGGCGAGTTATTTTCTGATTCTTCAGAGACGAAAGAGGAGGAAATTAGCTTGCAGAATACAGTATTTTTAAAGGTTTTACTTAAGACTGGCTAAATTTTGAAATGGGGAGAAGTAACTGCAAATAGAAAATAAGTAAACCCAGGGATAAGCATGGATAACATTTTTTTCTCTGACAGTCTTCAGAAATTGGGAAGATTCTATGGTTTAAATGTCATTCTTTCTACATGAAAGATCAAATGCTCTCTAACGGTCCTCTCCAAGTCTAGGGTTCTAGAATCTATATTGACATTTCAAAAGCCAGATGTGACAGCATGTTTGCTGAGGGATTTCTGTCATAGCTACTCTAGCCGAATTCATTTAAACTGGGACGTGAGCATTATTTCTCTATTTCTCTTCAGAGCCAAGTAACCAGGCAACAGTAATTTTCTATTATTTTATCACTTTTTTTAATCCCCCAAAAGAGTAACAGTAAGCTCAGAAGGAAACAATTTTAAAATCCATAAATGTTTTTCTCATAATTCAAGGCCTTAGACTACAGGGGTAAATGTTTTAAAAGCTTCATGGCATTTATGGTGAATAAGTATACTAGGTTTTAGATTGTTTATGAAATCTGTTCCTCTGGGTATTTGACTTCTTAATCTTTCTCTTTTCCCTTTTGTCCTTGCAAACTATTAGAGAAATTTCAAGGCAGTTAACTAGTGATAACGTGATTTTAAACTTGCATTTTTCAAGGATTACATAGTAGAAAAGGATGAAAGGTTAAATTAGATGTTTGAGCCTGGACTAATGTGGCTCATTTGGGCGTCGTCCCACAAATGGAAAGGATGCCGGGTCAATTCGCGATCAATGTACATGCCTGGGTTGCAGGTTCAGTCTCTCTCACATGGATGTTTCTCTCCCTCTCTTCCTCCCAAATAAATAAATAAATAAATATTTAATAAAGGTTGACATCCCAGGGAGAGGAAGAGAAGAAAGTAAAAATGGTGAAAAAGGTGGAATAAAGTTGATTAAAAAGCACAGCTAAGAAGTAAAGAAGTTGGAAAATGTGAACTGAGAATGGAACCATGATCTTTTTGTCCTTCCATTTTCATAAGGTCATAGAATGTTAGAGATAAAAAGCATCTTAGAAATGAATGCACAGTAAAGCCTGTCTTACTCATTTTGGTCTCCCCCAAGGTACCTTTACAGAGAAATGCCTCAGTAAATATTGACTAAATGGATAAGCAGGGGGTGGAGGGCTCACATTCATTGAACACTTGCACCTGTTTGGGGGAGCAGTCTTCTAAGTGTGTTACGGTATCTTGATTCGTCCTTTATGCAGCTCTGAATGAGATGCTGACTATTTTATAAATGAAAAACTGAGAAGTTCAGCATCTTATCCAAGATCACAGTTCAGTGATGAAACCAAGATTCAACTTGTGTCACGCCTATGCCGCCTCTCCCCAATCTTGCCACCACTGCCCTTATTGACCTGAAAGTTTAAATCACTCCTCTTGATGCCTTTTTGGGAGCTACACACATTTATGCCATGATGGTGGGGTTAGGGGAGCTGACCTTGTCATTCAAAGAAGAGACCTGACCTAACCTATGGTTTTTTCAATGCTTTCCACATAGCCTATCACTTTAAGTGTTCGTGCTCACCCGGGTCTTGCTCTATACGTCCCTTCGCCATGGTCCTCATCATGGTAATCCCCTTGTTCCCCCCACTACTGACTGCTAGCTGGCGCCTTCCAGCTCTGTATCTATAGCAAACATCTCTTATGTTCACACCATGAAGGACTATCCTAGTCATTTCTTAATTATCACTTTGGCAGGAGTAGAGATTAAGTCCAGAGATATTTGAATACAATTACACCTAATGTCTTTGACAACTGTAGTTATGTGTACCTGGTAAATGGAGACTTCCCAAAAAGAAGTCCTTGATGGCAAGGACCCTAGTGATTTTCCCAGAGTAGAACATGTGAGTTCATCTCAGTCCCTGGGGTCTGGGAAGACAATGAGAGAAGAAAATAAGAATATTGCCCTTGCTTTCCAGTCACCTCAAGACAACCTGGGGAACAAATTTGAGCCCTTTCTCCAACATAGGATCATCCCCTTTCATTAAGTTGAATTAATGTTTGAGAATTAGCAGTATAGCCAAAAGTGCTTTCATTAACAAAACAGATCTCTTTCTATTTACCCACAGCACCTACTATTTCACCACCTGACAAATCTAGTATTTTATCTTTTAATCCCTGTATTATCTGGCTCCTCATCCTGTTTCTGATTCTCATGTTGCCCAGAGCTGGACACATAGAAGACTCAAGAATTAGACTGAATGTGTCCTGAGCTCCTGCTAGACTACCCGTGCCCTCCGACGAGGTAGCACTAGTTACAGGTGGCTTTCGACCATCTGAAATACGGAGAGTTCAAACTGAGACGCTGCAGGTCAAAACCACCCCGGGTTTCGGAAACTGAGTACGATAAAAAGGAATTAAAATATCTCATTTGAAATTTTTCTATTGGGTACATGGTGAAAACTTATTTTGGATATATTGGGTTAAATAAAATGTATCGTTACGTTTTTACTTTTTATGTGCCGCTTTTGAAATTTTTTAATTACTAATGTGGATCACGTTCTAATGGACAGCTCTGGTCTAAAGGATGACAAGATGAGACTATACATTGAATCATGCCATGTCTCTTGTATCTCTTAACGGTTTCTCACAAGACTATCTGAGATTGTAAAAAGGACGTGTGTCGTTCCCCCCACCCCCACCCCCACCCCCGCTCTAGCAGCTTTTAATCCTGGTCCCTGCACACAGAAATCTTGGTTCACAACTCTTTGATCGCCGGGGTCTGGAAAATTTGACAGGCATTTTGAAAGGAAATAGGACACCGGGAGCAAGCCGCGTTTTTTACTTCAGGAAGGTCCTGCTGCGGCGGGCGTAGCAGAAATCAGGCGACACACCCCTGAAGGCTCACCCGGTGGCACAGGAATGCTCCGACCTCTTGTTCTGCGCCCAGCGGCCAGCCAGGCTGTCCACTGCGACCTCTGCAAGATGGCCGCCGTCGAGGGGCGGGGACTCCGCTGTCCCGCCCCCTGCCCCGCCCCCGCACTGCCCAGTGTCGATTGGGTGACGCGATTCGGTGGTGAGCGCTGATTGGGCCATACGGATACGTAAGTTGGGCGGGACCGGAAGGTGGTCTTAGCCCTGGGGTACGGGGGTCTGGGTCTTGACGTTGGTCCCTAGGGGATGTGGAGAGCTGGCGGCATGTCGGCGGAGTTGGGAGTCGCGTTTGCTCTGCGGGCAGTGAATGAGCGCGTACAGCAGGCAGTGGCACGGCGGCCGCGGGTGAGGAAGGGGACCGCGTGGGGACAGTGGGCGGCCACTGTGAGGAGGGGGACACCTGCGTGGGAATGGGTCGTCACGGTGACGCAGAGGGCTCTCCCGGAGAGGCGGGACCCGTCCACCGCCTCAGCGTTGGCGCGGGTCGCAGAGTCCCAAAACAGCTAGCTAAGGGCTTTCTCAGTGACCGCGAGATGAGTCTGTCAGGTTTCCTGGAGGTTGGCTTAGCTGGAACAGAAGGTATCCGCTACTCCGGGAAAATGACCGATCTCCAGGCATCCGTCGCAGCCTTTGCCCATCCCACTTTGTGTAGGAGTCAACAGCCTTAGCGGACGGGAGGAGGGCCAGGCCTGTGTCCAGCAGCGGCAAGAGAAGACGTCTCCTACGAGAGTGCGCAAGGGAGGCCAGATCCGCCTGAGATCACGTGTGTGGCCTAGTAGATGCTCAGTAAATGTCAGGTCCACATGTAGGCGAAGCAGATAGGATTCATTGGAGGCACCAGCTGCACTTGTGCATTTACAGCAGATGGGAGCTGATATCTGATGCCCTTATGGAGAGACTTTTTTCCCCCCTCCTTATATATGTATGTTGTCTCCTCCTGGAATTTCATTAGACCAAGGGTCAGTCAATATCTGCTCCTCTCGGTGCACGTTTAAGCTGGATGATGTGGAGTGAGACAGACCTCAACAGAGGGCCAAGGTTTCTCATCTGTGCTTACAGTGTCAGAACTCAGAATGCTTGCCTCAAACTTGCAGACACAGAGAGTGGACTGGTGGTTGCCGGAGGGAAGGACGGTTGGGGAATGGGTGGAAGAGGTGAAGTGATTCAGAAGTATAAATTGGTAGTTACAAAATAGTCACAGGGATGTAAATTACAGCAAAGGGAATATAGTCCATACTGTTTCACTAATTATGTGCCATGTGGGTACTGGAAAAATCGAGGGGAACACTTTGTAAAGTATGTGATTGTCCAGTCGCTGTGTTGTACACCTAAAACCAATTTTAAAAAATAATATTGAAAGTAAACCTTAATTGAAAAATAAAAATAAAACAAACACACACAACCAAAGAATGCTGGCCTGCTGACAGAAACCTGTACTAGTATAGCCTTGCCTTGGCTACTAGTTAGATATTATCTTGAACAAGTCACTTAACTACCTTGGCCCCGAGTTTCCTCATCTGCATAGGCAAGGGAATGAACTTTGATTGCTCTGAGCTCACTCCTGGAGTTAATGTTCTATGATTCTTAGTGCCTCTCCAAGATAAACGAGGGATTTCCCTAATAAACATCACGCGTGGAGATTGTCCCAGCAAATCTTCCTGTTCTACATTTCTGTCTGGAAACCATCAACTCATCGACATAATCCCAAGAGTTATGGCATGATGTTCTAAAAGGCTGTTAATATAGCCCTCAGAAAGATGAGGAAATTCTTTGTAATTGACATGACTCTTCAGGCCCTTTGAGAATACTGTGATTCTATAAAAATTGCAAAAGGATGATGGGGTACATGAAAATTGAACTATGTAAGGAACCGTGAATTTCCTCTCTTACTGCGTCTGTGTGGATTTTGTTGCAGTAGAATTTGGGGAAGACTCGCTCTTCATATAATGGCCCTGAGAGGAAGGTCAGATAGATCTAATCCTGAATCGAGAGATATTTTTTGTGTCCCTGCCTCAGGTCTGCCGCCCGTCCTTCATTAGATTGAGCAATAGATTACATAATTACCTAAGCGGGCCACTTTTGAAAGTGAATGGAGGCAACATTAATAACTATACCAGGACCAGAAAGAGATTCCAATACTGTTAACCTGGGGGTTTCCGAGACCAAAACTGGCTTCCTTTTAGAGAGTGATGCCTTCCCATAGTGAAGTGATTCTCAAACCTCTAATGTTGGTGTGCAAGAGAATCATCTGGAGAGTTTGTTTAAAAGGAGATTCTCAAGAGTCCAGCCCCAGTGACTCAGATTTAGTAGGTCTGGAGTGAGACCCAGGCGATGCTGACGCAGTTGGTCAAAGACTGCATTTTAAGGAAATATATTGCTTTTACTTACCTGCCCAGCTCTCCTGAGAAATGTCTATTGCTAGATATTAAAGTAGCTTACATATTAGGTTTAAATGCACTGCATTTGAAAGACTTATTGTCAACATTGTTTGGCTCCGATATCCCTGCAGTATTGAAAAATGGAGCTTACCAAATACCAAGTTAAGATCTATGCTGATCTGTCGTACAGGATCTATCTTACAGGATTTATCAGGATAATATTCCCAAACATTCACTCATCGGGCTCTCTCTCTCTTGGCAGGATCTCCCAGACATCCAGCCCCGGCTAGTAGCAGTCAGCAAAACCAAACCTGCAGACATGGTGATTGAGGCCTACGGTCATGGCCAACGCACTTTTGGAGAGAATTATGTAAGAGCCTTTTCCCAAACTGCCTTTGGAAGAGTCATGTTTGCCAAACTTCTGACTTGTCTTTTTTTTTAACCCTGTAGGTTCAAGAACTGCTAGAGAAAGCATCAAATCCTAAAGTAAGTAGATATCTGAATTCTTGAGTTTATATCTAAATCTCAGCATTTCATTTGAAAATTAGACCCATGTTGGTGGCTGAGTTTTAGAGCAGGAGGTTGGGTTTACATTTGCCTTAAGCCCCCAATATTTCTCAGTTAGATTTTCTTTCTTTACTAAGATTATAGTTTTCTCCTTCATGAATTTTTGAAAATGGAGATTTTTAGGAGCTTGCTGTAATCTTGGAACCTTCTGAGATTTGAAAGCTTTTAATCAGTTTATTCTTAATGGGTAACATCTGAAAGATGGAGGGAATTGTTGGGAACAAGGAAGAGAAACAGAACAGAAGCCTTAGATGTTTTTCTAAGTATCCTTAGGAACCTGGCTGAAGATGGTGGTAGTACTTTATTGCATAGACATGAAACGTCAGAAGGGAGTGTGCAAAGTATTTGAGCCAGCTAGGCCTCCGTATAATCTAAGCCAAGCCCTGGTGTGACTCAGTTGGTTGCCCATCATCCCGCTGACCAAAAGGTCATGGGTGCAATTCCCACTCAGGGCACACACCCAGGTTGGGGATTCGATCCCCCACTGGGGCACATACAAGAAGGCAACCAATTGATATTTTTCTCTCTCATTGATGTTTTTCTCTCTCTCTATTGCTTGATCACTCTCCCACCACCTTCCTCTCTCTAAAAGCAATGAAAAAATGTCCTTGGGTGAGGATAAAAGAAAAAAAATCTAAGTTAAACATAGTTACCTTTTTCTTTTCAGGTTCTGTCTTCATGTCCTGAGATTAAATGGCACTTCATTGGTCACCTACAGAAACAAAATGTCAACAAATTGATGGGTAAGATAAAACTCTAAATATGATCATATGATTTTTCTTTTTTAGTTTGTTAACATGTTGAATTACATTTATTGATTTTCAAATGTTAAATCAATCCTGCATTCCTGGGGATAAACTTCACTTGGTCATAAAGTATTATCCTTTTAATACAATGTTTCATTTGATTTGTTAGATAGTGTTTAGAATTTTTGCATCTATATTCACAAGGGACATTAGTCTCTAGTTTTCTTTTCTTGAAATATCTTTATTTGGGTTTCATATCAGGGAAATGCTGGCCTCATAGGATGAATTGGGAAGTATTCCCTCCTTAAGTCTTCTAGAAGAGTTTGTGTGGAATTACTATTAACTCTTCCTTAACCATTTGGTAGAGTTTACCAGTGAAGACTGGAGATTGCTTTGTGGAAAGATTTTTAACTATAGTTTCAGTTTCACTAATAGATATAGGGCTCTTCACATAATCTGTTTCTTCTTAGATGAGCTTTGAATATGTCTTTAAAGGAATCTGTCCATTTCAACTAAATTAATGAATTTATGGGCATAAAGTTGTTGGTAATTCCCTTTATTATCCTTTTAATATCTGTAGAGTCTGTAGTGATGCCAGCTCTCTCATTCCTGGTATTAATAATTTCTGTCTTCTCTTTTTTTCTAGTCTCTCTGGCTAGAAGTTTATCAATCTTCTCAAAGACTGATTTTATTTTTCTCTATTGTTTTATTATAATATATAAGCAAAAATAGTGATGTAACATGGGGTTTATAATATGTAAAAGCAACATACATCACAACAATAGAATAAAGAGTGGAAAGGAAGAAGCAGAGGTTAAGATTCTTAAACTTAATGTGAAATTGTATAAAACCACTTAAAGGTAGACCATGATAAGTAAAACTCTAAAGCAACCAATAAAATAACACAATAAAGAGTAATAAGTCAGCAAAGGTGAAAAAATGGAGTTATTAAAAAATATGTGAAATGGTATCTCATGGTTTTTATTTGCATTTCCCTAGTGACTAATGAAGTTAAACACCCTTTCATATGCTTATTGGACATTTATATATCATTGGAGAAATGTCTATTCAAATCCTTTGCTCATTTTTTAACTGGGTTATTTGTCTTTTTATTGAGTAATAAAAAGTTCTTTATAGATTCTGGGTACCAGACCTATCAGATAAATGATTAGCAATATTTTGTCCAACTCCATGGGTTGTCTTTTCACTGTCTTGATAGTATCAATTCTAGCGCCCTCATCCCAGAAAGTTCAAGAACATGGTGATATCATGCCAGAGAAGCATTTTGGCTTCCACTGGTTAGTCTTTCTTTATTGCCCTCTTGATCTGTTTCTCTCAGTTTGAAGTGAGATTGATCTCTAATTATCAGCCCCTTGGAGCATATGGATACAAATGCTACATGATTGTGGTAGGTTAGCGTTTTCCTCTCGTTACTCATTTTTGCTGATCAGGTAGTGATAGTGTAACATTGGAACTTAATATGTAATAAACTTGCATATAAGTCTTCTTAGCAGAACTGAGACTTAACTGTCTTTTTCTTTTCCTGGAAAATTATTTTTCCATCAACCAAAAGCTATTGCTTGCTTCATTCAGTAAGATACATAAAGAATTACCTTGCCCTCCTCTCATTTCAGCTGTCCCCAATCTCTTCATGCTGGAAACACTGGATTCTGTGAAGCTGGCAGACAAAGTGAACAGTTCATGGCAGAAAAAAGGTTCTCCCGAAAGGTTAAAGGTTATGGTCCAGATTAACACCAGTGGAGAAGAGAGTAAGTGACCAGAACTATATTGCAGATTTCTCTTCCCCCTAGTATGGTGGGAGCCCAGGAAGAATGGCAGGCCTAATTTATCAGATAGCTAAGTTTATAGAAAGAAATCACAGACCTTTAAGTAAGCTGTGTTGTCTAAGATCTAGATGGCACAATGACATCCATGCTGGCCCACAGTATCCTTTAATATGTCATGATTTGTTATTTCTTAATTTTTGAGGAGACAGATGGATAATTGAGAAGGGGATTGTGATTTTGACCTCCTAAAAATTCCCAGAAGTCACTGTCACTCCTGAAAGAAGTTGCAAAATTATATAAAAAGTTACTCTTCTTGGGTCCTAAAAAATAAATTACTTAGTGTTACACTGGGAGAAAATAGAAGGGAAATCACTGTGAGCATCAGGCAGTGAATATCATTACAGGACTTGTATTGAGAGTGTAACCTAGTGAACAGAGCATGGGCTTTGAAATCAGGCACAGCCTGGGTTAGAGCTCTACCACTTTCCAGTTTTGTAATCTTGTATGAATTACCTAATCCCTCTGTATCTCAGTTTCCTTGTCAGGCAATGATAACGTAATATCATTGTTGTGAAGATTGAATGTACTAATGCAGGTAAAGCTATTGGCATAGAACCCTGCACATCTTACTTGTTAGCAATTTGTTTAAAGATCAATCACTTGCTTCCAACCATCAGAGCACCAGTGTTCACCAAATCTTAGCACGAAGTTCAGTATAGGCTTGTGTTTTCCAAATAGACGCTGGAGTCAGGCTACCTGGGTTCAAATCTAGTTTCACAATTTCTATTTGTGTGACCTTGGAAAAGGTACTGAGCTTCCCTGTGTTTCATGTTTGGAATAGAGATAGTAAGAATACTTACTTAGTAGAGTTATTGTATTACAAGAAAAGCACTGAGGATTTGCCACATATGCCTGGCACATAAGTAAGTGTTGGGTAAATTTTAAGAATTATTGTAAATCTGAAATGGACTCCAGATCAAGTCTATTACATCATTTCTTGATAATTAGCTATAATTTTCCCTAATTAAATATGGAAATAAGTGTTCTTAGCACCTACATTTGATAAATGCGGGAAAGACAATATCAATAATCCTTATAACTGCATAACAAATTATCACTTGCTGCAGATTCCTCCTCTAGTGGTTAATTAGCAAGTTCAGTTAAGTTTAGCAAATATATAGTCAGAACTATGTAATATATACTTTACATTTTTTACAATTTTACCAATAAATTATTAAAATTATAGAAATACCAGGTTTGGGGGAAAAAAGCTCTGAAGTTAATCTGGCATTTTGGCAATGTGAATCTTCTTGGTATCCCAAGAAAAGCAATGTTTTTTCTTTTCCCTGTACTCTAGCTGTTCTCAGCTCAGATATTGAGACAGAATCAGGAGAGTTCAATTTATAGCTCTTCTCTTGAGAAATTCAGAACCAGACCAAGAGGGAAACTACATGAAGACCTCAAATAGAGAGTACTCTTTCGGACTCGAGAACAAGAGGCCCTCCTGTCTGAGGGTCACCTCCTCTATTACCAGGGAGGGATGAAAATGGACCCTATCTCTGGGACTTAAAACATTCTGATATAAGGGTCTTCAATTTTTTTTTTTTTTTTTTGTGTGTGTGTGTGTGTGTATGTGAAGGTAAACATGGCATTCTACCTTCAGAGACAATAGCCACAGTGGAACACATAAATGCCAAGTGCCCCAGCCTGGAATTTGTGGGGCTGATGACCATAGGAAGCTTTGGGCATGATCTTAGTCAAGGACCAAACCCGGACTTCCAGGTACTGCGGGCTAGGGATGGGGGATTGCTCATGGGCTAAAGAAACACCTTAGCAAAATGCTGTTGCAGGGCTGGCTATTGCAGTTAACTTCAAAGACATCCCAGATGCTGTCTGTCAGGCATTATTACCCTTTTCTGAACCCTTTTCATTAGGAAAAGAGAACAGGTTCCCAAGACCCTACAGACCTCTCTCAGCTCAGTTTGAACCTGGGTAAAACATGGTCTTTACAGAAAATGAGCTCCTTCAAGGACTGGTAGTTTTCTTGAAAGTAAGAGAATTTGAAGGGGGAAAAAAAAACCCTTTCAGTAACTTCTGGCAACTTTGACAGGCCTTGAAACAATGAGAAATAAATAATCTTTGTCCGAGATATTCAGAGTCAGCCACTTTCAGGCATCTTTAGAGAGGCAGGAATAAAATTAGGTGTCACACTTCTCTTTCTGTCAGATGTTATCGTCCCTCCGGGAAGAGCTGTGCAAAAAGCTGAACATTCCTACTGATCAGGTTGAGCTGAGCATGGGCATGTCCATGGACTTCCAACATGCAGTAAGTGTCCTTCCAGGTACCATTTGATGGTAGGGTCCCCAAGGCCACAGCAAGAATCAGTTTTTGCTGAAGAAACCTTTGAAATGCCTCATCGTAGCCATAGGGCATCCAATAGCAGTGGTTCTCAACTATTCTAATATTCCCCACCCCCTTCTTTTTTTTAAATATATTTTTATTTTATCACCCTCTTATTTTTGAAATGAAATGTACAGAAATTATAGCCTAACACATAATTTAACTTTTTTAACGCCATGTAATTCCCTAAGTGGAATCTAAAGGAAAATAAGAAATTAAACTGTAATTTTTTAAAAGGCATTTTGCTATGTAAATGCTTGGACATAGATATATGACAATAAGTCATGATGAAGCCTGAGGCTTAATCTTATGTGTAGATTCACCATGAATGCAACAGCTATAAAAATATGCGTGATACTGATATGCTATATTGTCAGCTTGGATACATGATTTCCTAGAACAGTAAACAACTTAACAAAGTTCCAGAAATCAAAGTATAAATTTCCCTCTGTGTAGACAGGAGTGGCATTGCTGGAAAACTGTATATATTAAAACAGTGCAAAAATACTTTGTTTTTTGTTGTTGTTTTTTATGATTGTTCAAGTACAGTTGTCTCCACTTTTCCACCACCACTTTACTTTGTTTTTTTAAGTAAAATAGAATTAAGTCCTGTGCAGAGACAATGATAGAGCTATTCCATCTACCAGACCAGGGAACATGAGGGAGGTGTGTGTGCTGCTGTCTCTCTCTCACTCGCGCACCAGGACATCTGGTATACCTGTGAAAGCCAAAGAAATCCTGGCGTATTTCTAAAACACCTCTCCGAGATCATATTGCCCCCAAGGAGAACCACTGCCCCGTCATCCTCCTCAGCTGCATTATCATCCTTAGAGGCCCCTCAAGAGCCAGAATGAGATGCACAGCTTCAGCACTGGCTGCTGTTCATTAGTTTATACTCAGCCCTGAACACTTGCTCTTCTTTCCCACAGATTGAAGTAGGCTCTACGAATGTTCGCATAGGAAGCACCATTTTTGGAGAGCGAGATTACTCAAAGAAACCTGCCCTGGACAAGTCCGCAGCAGACCTGAAAGCCCCAGTGGAGGTGACACAGGCACATTGAGCCAAGGAACGACCAGCAGTGGCCTGTGGGCCCTGTCCAGGAAGACTAACTATGCACTCACCTGGATTTTCATTTTGATATCCCCCAGGTTATAGCACAGCTATGCTCTCCTTGTGACCTGGTGAGAGCATGCTGAGGATCATGCGTACTGATGGAAACCGTCCGTATTTAGTGTCTGACAAAGGAGCTTGCTTCAAGTGGTGGCTCTGTATTAGATTTGAGAAATCCTGGCATTTCTGCAGAACAGATATCAAATCAATAGCCAGGAATTAAGTTCAGTATTGAATCCTGTCCAGGAGCACCAGCCTACCCACAAATGCCTTTCCCAGTTTAAAATTAGGTCACAGATGCCTATAATCTCCAAAGTCAGAGGAATTCCCGTTTTTCTTTTGCTCTAACAGAAAATTCCCTGTGGTTACCAACTTCATGCAAACCCCAGCTAAGCAGTGATCTTTGCCACTCTGAAGGAAGGTGATTTTGCTCCATTTCCACTCACCCAGTAAGTATTTCTCTGTGCTCTAGAATAGCAGTACAGGAAAATGGTTCCAGTTAATGCTCCAAACCCAAACAGTTGATGAGAACTTGTGTCGTTGAAACCGCCCTGTGTTATTGACCCTGAAAATTATAGGGCTACCATAAATGGGACTTGGGCCTCTCTAACTTGGGCCTGAAGAAACAGGACTTTGAGCTTTTTCCCCTGGGCCCTACAATGATGAGAAGTTAATGATACAACTCTCTTTATGGTGATTTCTTCTCAAAGACCAGTGAATCTCGTAGCTCCCCAGAAATGAAAGATTCGTTCAAAGTCCGTTTAGGTTCACAGTTTCAACCAGGCCCAACGCTGAGGTCCCTGCCCCTGAGGAGCGCTGTCCAGGCTGATATACAGGCCTCCCGCCGCGGGGCACACGCACACACTATATTTGTCAGCCAGAATTGCAGCTCTTCTTGTTCGTTGAGAGAGCAGCAGGATACTTTGGGCTGGGTTGTTTATTTCCTAGATGGCTTTTTCTTATTTATTCAAGCCCCAATCTTTAATTTGATGAAATATCTTTCAGAACAGGATGCTGCCACTGAATGTAATTTTGTAAAACTTCAACCATTACGAGCCCTGTACTGTTTCAGTCAGAGCTAGAATGTGATATTTCAGAGTCTATTAAATAAAAATGTGAGTTTGAATTATGCCATCTGTGCCAATTACAAAGCAATTAAAAGATTTATTTTTTGTGATCTGGTGTAGTGAGTGAGTGTAACAGGACAGGGGCGTTGGAACCGACAGGACGCAGCTGTGCCCGTCCCTGGCGTCACTCCAGCTGGCTTTGGACAAGGGTTTCCCTTGGGTCACAGAGGCAGCCAAAGCCACACCATGGATGAAAGAGGGATTCTGAACTTCCATGGGCAAGAAAATGAAATGTTGGCATTTCAGGAATTAGCAAAAATAGAGGTTACCTACCTCTCGCCACAAGGAACTTTTAAATCGCCTCTAGATGGCGACATTGGCCAACCCGCAGGGCAAGCACTCAGGCTCCACTGTCAGCAAATTGCTTGGAAGGGACTCACCCCTCAGTCTCATACCCTCTTTATGGGCAGATGTGGAGGCCAGAGAGGACAACGATTTTCCCGAGTGGCACAGCTAACTCCTGCAGAGCCATCAGGTTCCTTCGGATGAGCCCCTTTGCTACCAGCCAAGGGTCCTGATGGTGGCTCTGGAGCACTTCCAGAAAGGTGAAATGGTCTGAGCCATAACGGGCTCTCTGGCTTGTGCCCAGACATGGAGAACAACAAAGGAGGTGAGCCTTGAGAGGCTGAATCACGCCCTGGTAAGGAAAGTAAACCTAAGCATATTTGTCCAGTGTACCCACTGCAGGCCGGGCTTTTGCGAGGAGAAAACCGAGTAAAGTTGTGACTGTCTTTTGTTATGCGTGATATGAGCAGCAGTCTGAAAACTTCTAGATTTTCGTCAGAGCAGTGACGGCATCCTCAGCAGGTTTCCTGAGTGACAATAGCACACTACCCTGGGTCAGACCCACCGCTGCAGCCCAGCAGCCTCTTGCTTGAGAGTGCCATCCGCAGCCTGGGCCCTTGTCTGCCTGGTGCCGGCCTCAGGTTTGCACACCCAGGGCTCCCAAAAATCCATCAAAGCTTTGTCCTCAGGAAATACTTTATGGATTCTGACTGTTGCATCTCTTAACAAAGCGACCTGTTAATACTCAAATTGTACTCCCTGCTTTTTAAAACATTCACGGCACATGAAGCACTATCCTGTATATTCATTCCCCACCCCACCCCCCGCACCCCACAACATTTGGTAGGGGAATGTAGGCTATTTGCCGATAGTCCTTTGTGGATTGGGCACTTGTCTGAGGTCAGAGCTGGTTGGGGACAGGGCAAGGAATAAACTCAAGCGTCTTAATCCCTGGTCCAGAGCTTGGGCACTATACCACCCCGGCATCTTCTGTTGTCTCAGGCTGTAACAATTCGTAAGTGGCATATTCCTATATTTACAGGCTTAGTTTAAGAGAAACCTATTATCATAAAAGCAATGTATATTTTTAGTCTATTGTAATTGTTGATGCAGAACAAACTTTGAAACTACAAGCAGAGTGCATGAGAAAGAAGGAAAGAATCGAACCCAGCCTGGGTGGAGTTAGCCTTGCCTTCTGTCAGCCATTCTCCCCAACACCCACACTCCCCCTCCGCATTCAAACCGTCCAGTCCTGCAGGCCACTACTCCGAGTGCCGAGTGCCGGAACTCTGCCCTTCGTGCCCTGGAGCTAGACTGGCAGGAGTAAGTCCTGTTCTCCACGACTGGACAAGGAGGAATGGGCTCCAATGGGGCATTCTTAAAATCCAAGACATCTTTGCCCTTCTAGGAAAAAAAAAATGACCCTGTGCTTCCTACCAAAACTCTGAAGGAGGAAGGACTCGCCCACCAGTTCCTGAAGGGCTGCAATAAGGGTGGATGTCGTTACGGTGCAGTTGGAAATGATTTGCTCTGGGAACTGTGACTGTCTTTACCGTGAAATCAGTTGGCCGCTATTACATCAGCCTCGTTCTAAAGGCCAAAGAATCCAAACCATCCACTGAGATGTTTCACTAATCTACCCTCTCCCCTCAGGGAGCACATAGGTAAAGAAAAGAGCTTTCTTTCCCATCTAGTTTGCATGGAGGGCTATGTGTGGTTGAGCAGCTATTTACAAGGTAGAGGCCCTTAACCTTAAGTTCCTCTTCCATAAGCACTTCAAGGTCCCAAGGGACTTCGGAGCTAACACTTTTTTTTCTATAAAGTCCAGCACAGATGAGTTAAAATGGCCTGAGGCAGGGACGAAGGAGACACTTTGAGTACTTTTCTTACATTGAAAATAAATTTCACAAGCTCAAGCTCCTGAGCTTTGAGATCAGTAAGAAGTAGACACAACCAACCCTTGGAGTGCCACAGCGCCTTCTGAACGGTTCCCTCCCCACGGGCCTGAGCGCCAGCGGAGGGAGGGAGCGGTGCCGCGCTCTCCAGCTTCGGGGCTGAGCTTGACCCAGCTGCCAATCTCCAAAATAAAATCAATGTGTGACCTTATTCACCAGCTGTACTGAAGAAACTAGCACAAACTAGGGCCAACTTTGAAGCCAAAAAGGGAAGATGAGATGTTGGGAGAGAGAAAGGGAGGGGGAAAATCTTGGCTGGACATGAAAGGTGTCTTGTCTGTCTGTTCCCCATTAGGCGCAATTCTCTTGCAATCTGCAGCCTCGATATAATTCTCTTGACCAGAAACTCTCCGGAGAGATAGTGTCAGAAGGAAAAACAAAGAGCATAGCATCTCTGACAGCAAAGTCACTTAAAAGCCCATTGGGGAAGGAGGGGTCGCAGGAAGACACGACAGCACAGGGGAGGACACTGCTCCACATGTGGAGACACATGTGCCCTGGGAAGGGACAAGGACAGGCCAGGAAGGGGAGCCGCAGAGAGGGCTGTATGCAGGGCAAGGCCAGCTCCAGGAAGCACCACTCCCGCCCTCTGCCCTCCCAGCCCCTCCGACGCCTCAAGATCCACCTTGTGTGGCTTTCTCAACTATGCCCGCAACATGTAAATCCGTGGTACTGGGCTTCTTACGGTCCTGTGGTGCATTGAGGGGATCCAGAAAGCTTGCTGTAGAAAAAAAAAGTGGTCCTAATTTGTCCTAACTTCACTTTCCCATTTCTGACCACCACCAGCAGCCATAGCACCCAGTTATCCCTGTCAGTTGGCAGCCAGCTCCCCAGGCAGCGAAGGCGAAGGCCCATTCCCCCCAAGCCCCTTGACCTGCCTTTGAGCTAAGCCTGCGAGTGTTAGGGAAGGCAGGCCCCACCCTTGCCTGCAGGAGCCCAGGGGACGAGGACTCTGGAGTCGGGGGTGCAGGGAAGGAGGGGGCGCAGTTCTGTGCTCAAGTTTCTGGGGCAGGCATCCTGTTATAAGAGAGAACTTTTTTTTTAAGAAAGAAAAACTAATCAGAAGAAAGAAGCAAGAGCTTTTCCCTGCCTTTCGGACTTGTTTATTACTAGGATATCTGATTTCAGCAGAGGAAGCCGGCACTGAAGCAAGGTTTTTATTGGCCGTGAGCAAGAGGAATTCAGGGTTTGCCTTTGATTTGGCTTCCCCAGAACATGAGGCACTGAAGAGTGCTCGCTGCTTTGATGGAACAGCTCAGGACTTGGGGGCCCCCAGAATTCCCTGTTTTCTGCAGCACCAACTAAAACTCCCTTTGGGGTATGAGCATGGAGCAAAGGGTCCCAGAGTGGAAGGTGGCCTCATAAACATTTCAGAGAAGAGAGCAAAATAGGGGACAAAGGGGAAAAGTTCTGAAATTGGCTCCGAGGGAGCACAAGCGAGGCCATGCTTGCTGCCCCCCTTCCTCGAGTGGGGACCTGGAGGAGGGAAGGTCTGGTTTGGATGAAAGCGCAGTGTCTCCAGCAGACAGAGCTGGGCAGGCTGCAGTCAGGCCTGACCTGATGGTTTCAATGTGTGAGGAAGATAAAGCCAGAGACCTACAGAGGCAGCCTCTGCCAACAGCCCTCCTCGGCTGGGGCCGGGCTGGCCCCCGAAGAGGGCGGATTACCAGCTGGGCCCCAGGCTTGAGGAGCTGCTCCTGATCCCCAGAGCTCCCCACAAACACCTCCACACACACAGCCGCTGTTTGGGGTCTGGAACCCCAGCCAGCCTGATCCGCCTCCTGCTGGCTTCCAAAGGGGGGCATCTACGCCACTGGAAAGAGAATGTCCCTCCATTTGAGGCTTCTGGGTGGGGCCCAGCCACCTTCCTTTCTCCCTTTTGCCGGTGAAGCCGAGTTCTCTAAGTGTCCCAACTTTTGCCTAGTACTGACCAGTGAGGGAGGGAGTCAGCTGCTGCGGACGCTGGGCTCTGGGACCTGCACTGACTGTAGAGGGCAGCCGCTCTGTTGGTTCTGCCTGGGTATGCTGCTCTCCCTTTTCCAGGTCTGTGACCTGAGGCTGCAGGTCCCGGTGGGAGTCACCTTCTCCTTCTCTGCGGGTGTGGGTGTTCACAGGCATTTCTGCGTGTGCCTCTGGGACTGGCCACGGGCCTGTCTCCCAGACAGAGTATGCGCCTTGGCAGTGGGGTTGGCCGTCCTAGCAGGACTCTGCTCACCTGGGAGGCCCAGGCCCACTTTGGCAGCCACAGTGCTGCTTGGCGCTCTGAGCCGAGGCCCAGAGCCTGGGGTGTGGGGTGGGGAATGGGGGAACAGGGCTCTCACTGTGTCCACTTCAAGGAACCCAGGCATCAAAAGGACTTTATGCAGTAAGTTTGGGAACATACATGGAGAAGAGCTGCAGGAGTAAAAGTCAATGGCCCCACTAGGGGAGGGAAACACACACACACACACACACACACACACACACTTCTTGCTCCCAGACTCTGACACCAGTCTGTCTGGGCTTAAATTTCAAATCTGTTCTTTACCCGCCAAATTAACTTGGGCTAAAGAATTTGCCCCTGAATGCCTCAGTTTCCTCGTCTATAAGTAGGGATGATATTAAGAGCAATTGCCCCATGGTGTTGTCGTGAGGTTTAAACGTGATGATAAAGCACATAAAAGCGCTGTGCCCAGAACAGGGCCCAAAGCAAAAGCCCAGTCAAGGTTAGGGACCCCATGCCAGACCCAGCCCCGTAGGCTTTACAGTCTCTTTGAGTCTCCACGGAGAAGCAGGGTGGAGCGCTGATGGACAGAGCAGATAAG